TTGTACTACTGTGCATTATTGGAGACTGCGGGTTGTGCTCATCAAAAGATGGAAGATCACTTGATGTTGAAGATTGTTCTTCATTTGTCTCTTGGTTTTCATTTTTTTTATATTTGTGAAGGATCTGATGAGGATTTGTTACCGTCTTTGGCGGTAGCATAAGAGCTTCCGTTATTTTTGATGAAGCTAATAAACATTGGCCTTTTAGTGCTTCATGATGAATTTTAAACATTTTATCTACTCGTAAAGGACCTTGAATATTTTTCAGGATATTATTTTTCAGTTGATTGAAGTCTCCTTCAACATAAGAAGATGAAGGCCTGATGTATCTTGAATTAAAATTGTCTTTCATGACGGCTGTCCATAGCGGAAATTCGGAACTTAAATTACAAAGATGTTTAAAAAATCCTGGAAGATAATAGGGATTTGGTCTGTCGTAGAGAGTCTTTTTATTTATTTCGGCTTCAAGCTTAATGCTGTTTACCCAATTTTTAACACTTTCTGCTGATTGTGGCTCTTCGTTTAAAAACAGATCCTGTTTATTTGGATCTAATCCACTGACAGAAAGCTTTTCTATCAAACATTTAAATTCAAGACTGTCTTCTTTTGGAATCATATCATCCATAGCTTCATGTGTTGCATTTCCAATAAGATCGAGCAATTTAATTCTAGCGTTTTCTGCTGGTGACAAAGTACAACTATTTAATATTTGTCCACCATATTGATGGATAGAGATAGTTAACGTCAATAAGAGAATCTCGCGAAAATCTTCTAATTTTTGAGACGATACCAGTAATGCTACGCAACGAATTAAAAAATCTTTGATTGCTTTATTACGTGAGGTGAAGTATTTTTGTCGACAAAAAATCGCAATGAGATGGGCTACGTCGATACGTATATAGCTCACATTGTTCAGAGTTTTGTCACTTTCCTTTTGCAAAATATAGAAGCAATCTTGAACATATTCTTGAATAGATAAGTGATTGAATGATCGGCTAATTGCACCTAAAAGTGCTCTTGAGTAATCACAGACAACTTCCTTCGGTTTAATGTCAACCGACATTAACCACTCATTTAAAAAAAATAGAATCTTATTCGTTGTTTGAGACGCCGACAGAAATTGACCTACGGATACTGTGACATTCAAAAAGTTTATCACTATTTCATAAAGAAATATATGTGGCGATTTGATATTTTCCGTAATTTGCAAAGGAAGAATGAGACCTCCTGTGCCATCGACACATACATTCATATACTCTTTGAATAGTCTGCAGTACTCCTTATAAACAAAAATTTGTTCCTGTAAAAAATATATCAAGAAAAATTTGTCATTACCTATTTCGTGAATAGAACCAGCATATGGAGGGCTGTATTTTAATTTCCTTAATATTTTTCCTACATCATTTCCGTCTTTAGAATCAACACCTAATTTCTTATCGTTACATTCCTGAATTAATTTTCTGAGTACATCATTCTTATACAACATAGGAGCTTCGACATCGCCTAAATTTTGAAATTTTAAAGCCAATTTCCGCCTATAATTTGCTGCTCCTTCAAAAACGACTGCTTCTCCAATGTCCTCACGTTTTTTGTTTCTCAATTGTCTCTTTACCGGGTCATGACTAAATTGTCTTGTGTCCTTACACCCTACTTTTATCCACACATCACTTCCAGGAATTGGTTTTTCATTAATAACACCAAGAAATACATTGTTACATTCACTACTTTTACATCGCCCTTGAATCCGAACGTATGGTTTTTCCGGATCTTCCGATACTCTGCAGTACTTAAAAACGAACGCGCAAGGAATTCTAAATTCTTTCCAGAATTCGTCTGCCACAATGTCAGTCCATTCACCTGGTGGTAACACAAGGAATTCTCTTTTATTATATATTTTACGAACGGGCTCAATTCTCTTCCACAATTCAAATTTTAGACATAAATTAAATGTTTCGCTGTCTGGTAGTTTTAATAATTCACAAAAAGAGCTATTTACATCATCAATGTTCAAATTCTCCTCATCATCATCATCATCATCATCATCGTCAGAAAAAAAATTGATTAGTTCTTCATCGCATTTAATGCTATTGTCTGAGATAATCTTTTCCTTTATTCCTATTTTTTCAAAAACTTCTGTTCTCAAATTCCTCCTATTTTCACGAAGATTTGTGTAAATGTTATGGGCATTCCATTGTCCTTCAAGTAAATTACTCACATTTACATAAAACTGACTTGTATAATGAGGCAAGGATCCATCTAATAAATCTTTCGAATATTTACAAATTGCATTTACTGCCTCGTCAACAGAGATTTTCGCTTGTCGTGGCATCTACAAATAAAAAAGTATTATTTTACAAACCAAAAATATTTCCAAACATGCTTTCAGAAATATTCTGTATGATATCTTAAAAACGAAGTAAAAAAAGAATTCTATTAAAATTTTTATTACTTTTTTGAAAATATGAGTTTGAAGTGGAGAAGGAGCGGAAAAGTGTTACTTTTTTAGCAATTAGAAAGTATTTTAAAAAAATAGAAAATTTCTTCAAATTTTTATAATATTAGTAATTTTACAGCTGTGACAGTGCATTCCAAAAGTGAAATTCACTGATCGTTGTTATTCTTACACTGCATTTTCTTTGAGTGTACACTGAGAAAAAAGGTTTGAGCTGACAACCAAATATTTCATTCAATATATGTGCAACTAAAATTTTTTGGTTGACACAATGCAGACGACTAAATAAGAAAATGAAAAAGAATTTGGTAGTCTCAACCAAACTTTGGTTGATGTCAACTATAGTTTAGTTGTGTCAACCAAAAAATTTTAGTTGCACATATATTAAATGAAATATTTGGTTGTCAGCTCAAACCTTTTTTCTCAGTGTATGTATACGTTCCATCAATGTCCTAACACCTAATATGAAACATATTTTATCATAAATTAATCTAAAAGTCATGTAATTGTTTTAAAAAACAATACACGGACACCTGTTTCATAATTAATATTATCATTTTTATTAAATATATATTTTTTTTATACTTACTATAAATCACTGGTTACAATAGACCACACGACGGTGGCCTATTAACTCGAAATAGTCCTCGAAATAAACTATTGCAATGAACTATAATAAATAACAATAACAAAAAAAATAAACAACAATAATTAACAACAAATTAAGTAAAATTGTTTTATAAAGGGAATCCCAAAAAAGCGAACCGCAAAGGTAGAACCACAAGTAGACACATTCAGAGTTGGTTAGTGTTATACTGTAATTTACACGAGGTATATTACGTTCCCAACCCTGCTACCTACCGTTACGCTGTTAGTTCATCGATATATTACGAGTTCGATTATGACGTCAGATAAATTGCAAAACAGAAATTCATTAGAGTAGCAGGAACAGAAAGATATCATTATTAATTTTACTCTCATTATTTTCTCTTTTTCATTCTGCATTCGCGCTGTCATGAAACATTATGTAAAATACTTATACAATATGTATAAGTATATTCTGCTCAGGCCTTTATACTTTTGACCACCAAACCTCCAAAATTGACTACCAAACACCACCAAACGACCACCAAACGATATCAAAAAGAATTTTCAAAAAATATTAATTTTTGGAGTGCTGATGTGAAGTTAGCACTCCAAAAATAATAATTTTTAAATAATTCTTTTTGGTACTGCTTAGTGGTTGTTTGGTGGTTTTTGGTAGTCAACTTTGAAGGATTGGTAGTTATTAGGGGAAAAGTGGAAAACGTTTTTTGAAGTACCTAAAATATATGATAATTTTTTCTTACTATATTTAATTATAATATGATATTAAATGAAATTCATATACAGAATTGTAAAATACTGTAATCCAAATGAATTTACAAATGGAATTAGGGAAAAAATTAAGTATTGTGAAATGCAATTTGAATTTTCGCGCCAGTTGATCTTACGTAATAGTGAACGCGCTCTCTGATAAAAGTTTTAGAAATGATTTATCATTTATAGTTTTGACCACCAAACCTCCAAAATTGACTACCAAACACCACCAAACGACCACCAAACGATATCAAAAAGAATTTTCAAAAAATATTAATTTTTCGAGTGCTGATGTGAAGTTAGCACTCCAAAAATAATAATTTTTAAATAATTCTTTTTGGTACTGCTTAGTGGTTGTTTGGTGGTTTTTGGTAGTCAACTTTGAAGGATTGGTAGTTATTAGGGGAAAAGTGGAAAACGTTTTTTGAAGTACCTAAAATATATGATAATTTTTTCTTACTATATTTAATTATAATATGATATTAAATGAAATTCATATACAGAATTGTAAAATACTGTAATCCAAATGAATTTACAAATGGAATTAGGGAAAAAATTAAGTATTGTGAAATGCAATTTGAATTTTCGCGCCAGTTGATCTTACGTAATAGTGAACGCGCTCTCTGATAAAAGTTTTAGAAATGATTTATCATTTATAGTTTTGACCACCAAACCTCCAAAATTGACTACCAAACACCACCAAACGACCACCAAACGATATCAAAAAGAATTTTCAAAAAATATTAATTTTTGGAGTGCTGATGTGAAGTTAGCACTCCAAAAATAATAATTTTTAAATAATTCTTTTTGGTACTGCTTAGTGGTTGTTTGGTGGTTTTCGGTAGTCAACTTTGAAGGATTGGTAGTTATTAGTTAATTATTAAAACATACTTTCGAAATTTTTCTCAATTTACTCACTTTTATTTGTAACGTGAAGAGATATATTCAAATTTTCATATAAATAATATTATTATCTCAAACATTTTTTCCCCTTTTCTTAACAATAAACCTAATTAAATATAATTTTAGAACTTTTAATTTGTTTTTTAATGTATGTATTGTGGTTATCAATTTTTTTTGAAAGTTTCTATATTAAAAATATAAATAAATTTTAAAATAAAAATCTCATGATTAGTATTGTAAAATACTGTTTTCATAATAAATTTACTTGTGAAATTAAGAGAGTAATGGAATCGTCGTAATTAACAATTTTAATTTTCCTACTATGACATAGTGCGCATTCATCTTTATTCACCTTGATGAATTTTTTAAAATTATAATTATCTTTTATAAATTGAACTACCAAACCTTGTGAAATGGCTACCAAACACCGCCATGCGATATCAAAAAGAATGTTTAAAAAATATTTCAATTTTTAAAGTGCTCATGTAAAATTTTTTGTCCAAAACTACTTATTTCAAAAATTTTTTATTGTTACTACTATATTTAATTATTACATGATTATATTTAATGAAATTCATACAAAATTTTGTGAAATACTATTTTTTAAATAAATTTACAAATGAAATTAGGAAAAAAATTAATAAGTTTAGAAATACAATTTGAATTTTCGCGCCAGAAGACTATGCGCATTCACAAACACGCACTCTTATAAAAGCTTTAGAAATAATTTATCTTTTATAGTTTTGACCACCAAATCTCCAAAATTGACTACCAAACACCACCAAACGACCACCAAACGATATCAAAAGGAATTTTCAAAAAATACTAATTTTTGGAGTGCTGTCGTGAAGATGGCACTCTAAACTTGAAATCTGTATAATTTTTTCAATTTTGACCACCAAACCTCCAAACCTGAATACCAAACACCACCAAACGACCACCAATCGATTCCATACAAGAAAACCTGTTTTCCTTTAACTTGGTGTGCCATCTTCACGGGGCTCCTATGTTGTGTTAGTGAAACTCGCCAGCATTAAAAATTGCTTTCAACTTTGTTATAATAAGAAAACCAGAAAAAAAAATCAAAGTTTTTCCAATGGCTGAGGAAAGAGAAGGTAAATTTCCAAGTTCTTAAATTATATATCATTTAACATTACCTCAATCTGTAAAAGTGATGTTTAAAATATTAAATAATAATTTTTAGTTAATTTTCGGCAATTTATTTTCTTACTTTAAAACAAAGACGTTGTCCGCTTATGTTCGAAAAAATAAATAAAAGCAATTAGAAATGTTTTTTTTTTTCATACATAATTTATAAAGTTTCTGAATAATAATTATGAATAAAATACGAAAAAAAAATTATTAAATTAAAATTAAATTATTTTCAATTATCTTTACTGATGAAAATATATATATTTTTTACAATTAAATTTTTAATGTGATAAATATATCTTTAAATTTTTTTTTGTATGTATATAATCTATATAATATACATTACTATGTACCTAACAAATAGTGAAAATAAATTACATATTTCAGATATGAAACAAAAGCTAAGTGAACTTCATTGTCCTTTTACTTGGGACATGACCAAATTTGAATTAAGTAATTGGGATAAATATGAATTGAAGTATCCTACGTATCACGAGATATTCGACCCTCAATCTCAGTTTATAAAACATTTAATAGTGGCTTATAAACAAATATTAAAACAAGAATTTAACGAAGCCAAGGAAAGCATTGGCGAAATTGAAAAATTAATTGATCACTTCAAAGAGTAAATGAAGGGTAGAATGACAAAAGGGGTCAAGCGCCAATTCACTGTTTTTACAGGAAGTAAAAAAAACATTTTTAAAAATTTTGCAGGTCATTTAAAAAAAAACTGAGAAAACCGTTTCGATATATTAGTATGTTTTAATAAATAAACAACAATTTGTTGAAATAAACCTACATATTAACGATAAAATTAAAAAAAACTGTGGTGCCTTGAGGTTATATCAACTGCGCACATTTTCTTTAAGCATTAATTATAAAAAAAATATACAGTTTAAAGAAAAACTGGAAAATTAGTTTCTTTCTATGGAATCGACGAAATGAATAGAAAAAAAAATTCCTTTAAAAAATTGTTTTCAAGAAAATTACGAATTAATTGCTTACTTTGGAATTGAGCAATACTTTCATCTTTAAATTCAATTGTTTACTTAGTATAATCATAAAAATATTTAAAAATTAATAACAAAATGATTTTAAAATTGTTTAAGGGCAAGTCCAACATGTGAAATGTAAACAAACATGAAATGTAAACAAACCATGCACATTTTTTCGCAGTTCTCATTTGAGAAGAAAATAAAAATTTGTCGTTTTCTTTATGAAAATGGTAAATTAATGTATTAAAGTTGGTTACTATACTTTATTTAACTAATTATATGAAAAAATATGTACAATTATAATGAAATGAAAAGTGCACTGAATTAGCAATTTTTTGAAGGTTTCGAAAAAAAAACCATTTGAGTATATCTGAGGCACGGACGTTGAGCGCCTAGGTGGGAGAAGAATGTTGAGCCATTGGACGGTCACATCTTGGAAAGGGTAAAATTCTGAAATTTTACCCCTTCTCTCACTTTCTCCCACCTAGGTCCTCAACGTCCGTGCCTCAGATATACTCGAATGCCTAAATTTTTCGTAACCTTGAAAAAATTCATATTTCAGTGTACTTTTTATTTCATTATAATTATACTTATTTGTTCACATAATTAGTTCAATAAAGTATAGTTACCTAGTCTAATATATAAATTTACCATTTTCACAAAGAAAACGAAAAATTTTTATTTTCTACCCAAATGAGAAGTGCGAAAAAAATGAGAAAATTGCTAATTCAGTGTACTTTTCATTTTATTATAATTATACTTATTTGTTCAGAAAAGTTGTTAAAAGAAGTATAGTAACCTAATACAATATATCAATTTACCATTTTCACAAAGAAAGTTACAAATTTTTATTTTCTATTCAAATGAGAACTGCGAAAAAATGGGTATGATTTGTTCAGATTTTGAACAGTTTTTTCGCAGTTCTCATTTGAATAGAAAATAAAAATTTGTAACTTTCTTTGTGAAAATAGTAAATTGATATATTGTATTAGGTTACTATACTTCTTTTAACAACTTTTCTGAACAAATAAGTATAATTATAATAAAATGAAAAGTTCACTGAATTAGCAATTTTCTCATTTTATTCGCACTTCTCATTTGGGTAGAAAATAAAAATTTTTCGTTTTCTTTGTGAAAATGGTAAATTTAAATATTAGACTAGGTAACTATACTTTATTGAACTAATTATGTGAACAAATAAGTATAATTATAATGAAATAAAAAGTACACTGAAATATGAATTTTTTCAAGGTTACGAAAAATTTAGGCATTCGAGTATATCTGAGGCACGGACGTTGATGACCTAGGTGGGAGAAAGTGAGAGAAGGGGTAAAATTTCAGAATTTTACCCTTTCCAAGATGTGACCGTCCAATGGCTCAACATTCTTCTCCCACCTAGGCGCTCAACGTCCGTGCCTCAGATATACTCAAATGGTTTTTTTTTCGAAACCTTCAAAAAATCGCTAATTCAGTGCACTTTTCATTTCATTATAATTGTACTTATTTTTTCATATAATTAGTTAAATAAAGTGTAGTAACCAACTTTAATACATTAATTTACCATTTTCATAAAGAAAACGACAAATTTTTATTTTCTACGCAAATGAGAACTGCGAAAAAATGTGCATGGTTTGTTTACATTTTATGTTTGTTTACATTTCACATGTTGGACATACCCTTAAGATTAAAAATACATTATTATTATTATTAATTTTATTAATTAAAATAAAATTAAAATAAAATTAAAAAAAAATGTTAAAATAAAACCTAAAAAAATAATATTTTTCATCAAAATTGAACAACACTTTCTTTTGTTTTTCAATCTGGTTGCAATAAAGTAAATTTGAGGCTATTTTATTAATTTAATTTTTATTAAAAACTGATTTAAATACGAAATAAAAAAGGAAATCCTTCTACAGAAATGTGTAAATGAATTTTCTTGATTTTTTTATGCAAAAACCTCATTTTCGATAAATTGGCGCTTGACCCCTTTTGTCATTCTACCCTTCAAATATTATTTAAATAAAATTTTTTTTTATCAAAATATTTGTCATTACTTTGATATATAAAAATTAATAATCTGTTTAAATTTTTCATATTCATTTTTCAGTTTAAAAAAAGACGTAATGGAACATATTTTTTTATCGACGAAAGTTCATTTTCTAATGAAAAAAGAAGATTTTGATGAGGCAAACAATATATTATTCAATATTCAAAGTATTGAGGATAAAATATATTTGAGTATAATAAATGAAATTAAAGCTGCATTATGGACACATTGCAATGATTTCACGCATACAGCCAAAATTGCCATAACATTTGCTGAGCTTTCATTAAAATATGATCCCAATAATGCAACATCGCATTATCTTCTTGCCAAAAATTTGAGGGGATTGAGAAGATTAATTTCATGTCACACTTCATCCAATGAAGAGGAGATTCTACATTTTAAAAGAGCTTATGAACTTGAAAAAAATCCTAAATTTGCTATTTTTTTGGGACAAGCATATAAAGAAAAAAATTTGAAGGACAAAGCAGATATTATATTTCAAGAAATTCACAGTATGAATATTCAAAGTCGCAAAATTAATTTGCGTTTATCTTTATATTTTCTTAAAAATAATTTTTTGGATAAAGCAGAAAAATGTTTGACCTTTGTTGAAGCAGGAGATTCAAAAAGTTCCTGGTTTTTGCATTACAAGGGGCTCTATTTAATGAAAAAAAATAAATATGAGGTAAAAACTTTTTTCATATATTTTCATGCTCATTAATTTAATTCAATTTTAAGTTATATTTAAAAATTCTTTTATTTTTTATCAGCATATTTTTAGTTTAAATAAATAAGGATCAGTTAATTGATTTTCTTTTGAGAACTATATTGTTTTTTTTTCAAATCTAGTTTTTAAATATATTATACTTGAAGATTTTCTTAGTTCATTTATATTATGGAGTAAATTTTATTTTTTTGTTATTAAAAAAGAAGGTTCAAGATATTAATTAGTAATCTTGATTTTTATTGATTTATTGAAGTAGTTATTTAACTAAAATTCTTCTCTTATTTTCAATAGTTTTAATGAAATTCTTCACAAATTTAATTATCTTAAACTATTTTTTAATTAAACTTTAATGAAATTCAATAATTATTTAAAATTTAAAAAAACAGCAAATAAAATTAACAAAATTTTTAATTTAAAAATTCCTTGTAGTTCAATTATTTTTTAAATATTTCAATTAGAAACAGTTTTAAATATTCCTTTTAAAACTTTTTGAAATTTAACAATTTCAACTATAACTCTTCCGAAATTCAATTATTTTTAATCATTTTTATAATATTCTTCGAAGATTCAATTATTTAAAAACATTTCAATAAATAAAAAATAACATTAACTTCAATTATTTTCAAAAATTTGTATTTTAAATCTTCAAAAATTCAATTATTTTTGAAGTTATCTAAAAAATTATTTCATAAATTATTTTCAATTTTGTAAAATTTAATTATTGTCTGAAATTTAATAAAATCTTTTGAAATCCAATTATTCCAAAAAATTTCAACTCCTAACTCTTTTGAAAATTAAATTATTTTTAATGATTTTTATAATAATGCCAAAACTATGACGAAATTTGAAATTCGAATAAATTGATTAAATCAGACTGCAAAATAATTTTAAAATGGAACTTTAAGAATTTTTTTACAAATTTGTAAAATTTTGATAATTTTTCTTAGTTTGATTATGAAATAATTGAAAAATTTTTTTTTGATAATGAATGAAAATTAATTTAATATCTTATAACATTAGATATTAAATGGCCATTTATGGTCCAATTGGATCGTGGGTGTTAATGTTGAATAAATAAATAAATAAATAAATTAGTTATTGAAAGTAAAAGATTTATTAACTAATTAAATTTAGTTAAAATAAAAATAATCGACTTGACTAAAATGACTTTTTTGCGCCTTAAAGTCGATCTGAGACCTAAACGATATAAATAAATATAATTTTTTTTTGACTAAAAAGGAACTCTATTTTATTCAATATAAGATGTTAATTTAAAGTTTCGACCAAAATTTTTTTTTAAATTTATGGGGCATTCCACGGGAAATTTTCATTCAAAATTTGTTTTGCCCGAAACATTGTTTTTTTTCGAAACTTATATGAAAAATTAGAAAATATGTATTTATTTATCTTTTTACTTGATAAAAATGACGAAGCTGAAGTTCGCAACGTTTATGATAAACGAGTTTTAAAGAAATGATTTTTTAAAATGAAAAATTCTATTTATTTTTTGCCTAAAAAATATTTTTTTATAATTTATTTATTTATTTGTACGAAGATAAAACCCACGGTCCTATTGGACCGCGGATTGATTAATGAATAATACAAGAAATATTTTTTAGGCAAAAAATTATAGAATTTTTCATTTTAAATAATTATTTCTTTAAAAATCGTTTATCATAAACGTTGCGTACTTCACCTTCGTTAAAAATGACGGAAGTTATGATTTTTTTAAAATTTAATGTTATCAAAGGCAGTGTATTTTTGTTTGAGTTTTCTCAAAGATGGACACTTTCGATTTTTAATTTTTTTTTTATGCACTGCAATCTCTGATGACTGAAGAATTTTTTTCCCTATCTGCAAAAGTGGTGTTTTTAGTTTTTAAATTATTATTTTTAGTTCTATTAAAAAAATGGTTAAAAAATATATTGCCTTTGATGACGTTAAATTTAAAAAATCATAACTTCCTTCATTTTTATAAAATAAAAAAAAATACGTATTTTCTTATTTTTCATATAGATTTCGAAAAAAATATTTCGGGCAAAAAAAAATTTTGAATGAAAATTTCCCAAGGAATGCACCATATATAAAATAGTTAATGGTTTTAGTATTTTTGGTCATTTGTTGCAAATTTATGTTTACATAACGTTTCGGCTGTGGAAAAAAATTACCTAAATTATTATTTTATATTTAATTAATAAATAAAAAAAAAAAAATATGTTCTTACAGGAGGCAGCTGAGTGCTTTAAAGAGGCGTATGATCAAAACAATTATGGAGCTGATTTAGGATATGCAAAATGTATGCGAATACTAAGAAAACGCTTCGATTTTATTGATTTTTTTTTAAATCTGATCAAAAAATATCATCACGATACCGACAAGTTTAAAGAAAAAGAAATTTATTTACATATTGCTTTCACTTTTTTTGATATTAAAAGAGACATTCGTGAAGCTATTAAATATTTTTATCAAGCATTTCAAGTCAAATCCCCTGAATTCAAAATGGAAGTATGTAAAATGATTATTTTTTTAAAAACAAAAATTGTTTAAAATTCTTTTTATATATTAATTTGAGTTGGTAAATTAAAATAAATATTTAATTTTTTCAGAGATACCGTAATCCTCTCACGGATAAAAATGTAAACGTATATAATTTTCTTTCGAATCATGTTTTTCCGAAAATTGAAAATTACATCAAAAACAAGACAATATATCTGCCTGAAGAAGTTCTTGTAGCAAACGAAAGGCTTAAAAAAATATGTGACGAACATTTTTCTCACTGACGGAAGAGAAATTTTCACCAAAAACCAATACTTAAATGCTTTTATAAATATTGTATGTTTTTAAGTATCATTAGAATAAATATTACATTAAATTTTCTATTAATGAAGTTTATACTCAGAAATTATTAAAATTAAATAGTTAAATTGACCGCTGCTCATGGATTCGTTTGGAACATTAAAAAAACACAGGTAAGATTTTGAATTTTAGATTGGCGCACAAAATTTATTTAATTAACAATTAAATGGTTTTTTTAGTTGCAAAATTATAAAAAATTATTCTAAAGGAGATTTATTCCTCTCATTTTCCTTGATATTTAAAAAAAGGTATAACTCAATCAGATTAATAGAACGAAAGATATAGCAGTTTAAAATTTTTTATTATTATTAAAAATCTCGTAAACTAACAATATTTTAAGCTGAAATTTACGTTAAAAATTAGTCGAACTATATGTAACAAAATTCCAAACTTCAAAAAAGTCAAAATCTCACTTGGAATCGCACATAAGTGTTTCAAGTCTGACAAAAATAAAATAGAGATATTATTTAAAAATTAATTTAAATTGAAAACAAAATTTATAGGGCTGACTATTAGTTATTTTAAATTGATTAATTCTAATGTCATATATTTTATTCTATAAAATATCATACTCCGAATAAAATTAACTTATATTTCCAACTTTATTCACGTCAAATATTTTATTATCTTTTATTAATGATGAGAAAAATATTTGTCATTTTCAAATAATAAATATAATTTATTTTAGATTTTTGGTTAATGAAAAGAATTTTGTTTTATTCGATTACAAAAATAATAAAAATTTTTAATTATAGTATAGCAAAGCATGTTCGATCTTTTTTAGTTTAGCACTTTTGAAATAGAGTGCGCTGCTGTTCTTTTCTCTCGAAAGAAAAACTAGACACATTCAGTATAAAGGCAAAAAGTTTTCAGGGCAAAAATTATCCTTCGTTTGAGCTTGAATTAGATAACATTTGAGAAAAATATTCCAATTTTCTTTTTGATTCGGAATGGAGAGCAGTCAAATGTTTGGATTCAAAGCTTTTTACGATAGAAAAAAGCAGGCTCAAAGTGGCGAAAAGCCGAGCGGCAAAAATTTACAAAACATTTGCAAAAGCTTGATGATAAAGCAAGTGGCTGCAAATGATGCCAAAACTTTGGAATGTTTTGAGAGGTTGAACATAAGGAAATGATTCCTTATAACCTCGAAATTATTTTTTTTTTCTTTTTTTTTTGGGCGCAAGCCCGCCTAAACGAATAAAACAAAATTTTTTACAGAACTCATTTTTGTTTCAATCAAAACAAAAATACTTTATCAAAATAATAATTATAATATCGTATCGCCGGCATAATTTTTATAAAAATTATTATGTACGTGTTATTTGTTATATTCTGGAGAATTACCCATATACGTATATATATCAAAAACAACTCGTGCTCTAAATATATAGTATATTTTGCTAATCTTTTTTTCCTTTAAAAACAATTTATAGTCGCTTATATATTAAAAATATAAAACTATAAATAAGCCCATGAGTGCGACAGTGACACTCTTATGCGTTGTTCTATTAGCGTCTCACTCGCACTCACATATCCCTATATGTGTCCTGACGCGGTGAAAGGGACCTTATGATTAAATAAATCGATTTTTATTTTTTTATACCAATCGATAGTTTTTGAGTTGCTTTTTCATTTCCAACAATTAAAATTTGTCTCCTTCAAATACTTATTGTGTTATATAGCTTTAAACATAAGTACTTTTCCGCGTATTCTCGGGCGCCTCGTGGCTACTGCAAAACCACTACCACTGCTCACCACTACGACGCTACCCTCGTATATCGGTGAGCGTGTTTCCTTCGTGCATCTTCGGCTCTACCATTTCTTGTCTCTCCCCACTAGTTCTAAGCTCTGATGTATACATTGCGCTGGGCCCGGAAAATGGATTTATCTCATATTAAAGCCAGTAAAATTGCAACAAACAATTTATTAGATTTTCATTATTTTAATAATGTATAATAATAATTTATATTTTAAATTCAAGACATATAACTTATTTATACAGCAAAAGTAATGTTATTTTTACTGTTGTAAGAAAAGTAAAAATTGAAAATTTCTCTGTTGATAAAATAAATAATAAAAATTAATTTCATTTGATAACAACGATTTTCAGAGAATTAATAAATAATTATTAAAAAAATGTTTAAACATTGTCAAAAAGGGGTTTCGTAAATTTCTTCTCATCTTTAAAGGATAAAGTATTTCGAGTTGGCATTTGGAGGAATAATAGAGGAATATTATTTTTGCAATAATATTGTGAGGAAATTATTTTATTAAAGATTTAAAGTGGAGTAATTTGGGGTAAGTTAGTTCAGCAGCGGCCACTAGCTAGAATTGGCGCCACCTTCTGGGCCACTGACACATAGATTCAATGTCTGTCCCCACTTCTGTCAAAAATCCAACTTTTATAACCACAAAATTACTTTTAAAAATGGAGATGCTTCTTAATCAGCTCGCCCTCATCTAATTAATCCGACAAATCCGAACAAGATATTTCAAGTTATTTACGTATTATTTTGTCAATCAAAATTAATCGATTAACTTTAATAGAAAATGAATCCATTTGCCGGGCCCAGGGCAATGTTTACATCAGAGCTTAGAAAGAGTAGGGAGGTACAAGATATGGTAGAGCCGAAGATGCACGAAGGTAGCATGCTCACAGACATATGAGTGTAGCGTTGTAGTGGTGAGCAGTGGTGCTGATTTGCAGTTGTACGTCCCCACTACTCAAATGTCTATTTTCGTGCTACACTTCGAGCGCCTCTCCTGTAAAATTTGCTTTGGAACCGTAAGGTCCCTTTCACCGCGTCAGGACACATATATGGTTCATAGTTTTGTCTTATACATTATATGTATTTTATATCCACGTGTAATCAAGTACAACAAGTAGGAGGTAATTAAAATACTATATCAAATGCCATTATCTTACTTTTTTCCAAGGAAAGATATAAAAGCTATAAAAGTTATCGCAAATGTTCGTAACAAATTCATACGCAAAAGTTTACAAATATGGCTGTTATATTAACTTCATTAGTGTTAATAAGCGGCATTGCAATTCTCTTTCGATATTACGCCAGATATAAATTAAATTATTGGAAAAGACGTGGTGTCGAATCATTGCCAACGGATTTAATTTTCGGCAATTTTAAGAATGCCGCACTTTTTAAAACTGCACCAGGATGGCATCTTGGTGAATTGCATAATGCCGCAATAACAAATTCTCCAATGTTGGGATTCTATATTTTTCATAAACCATGCATTCTTTTGAGAGATTTAAAATTAATTAAACAAATTATGGTAAGAGATTTTGAAAATTTCTCCGATCGTCATTTTGCTGGTTCACAACAAAAAGACAGTATTGGAATGAAAAATTTGTTTGGATTGAAAAATCCGGCGTGGAAATATGTGAGATCAAAAATTACACCAACATTAACGAAAGGTAAATTAAAATTAATGTTACCATTGATGATGGAAATTGGTGAATCAATGATGGAATATTTAAACACCGAAACAACTGACGCCAATGGAATTAAAAATGTTGACGCTCAAGAATTAAATTATAAATATACCACTGATTTAATTGCCTCAATTGCACTTGGAATGAAATTCAACACTTTTCATAATCCTGATTCTGAATTCTCTAAAAGTAGTAATTATTACTTTTTTTTACCAAAAAAAAAAAAAATAAATAAATAAAATAAACAGTTACCGTCAACCGGGGTAATTAAATATTCACAAAAACGATATTTTTTACTTACAATATGAAATCTTTTCTGTAATATGATAGTTTAGAATACTGTAAAAAAATTAATAACACAATCTTTCTAAAATTTAAAAAAAAATTTTTTTTTTAATTTACATCAAAATTTTACTAAAATTTATATTTATTAAAAAGATATTTTTTTTAAATTAACATTTATTAGGTTCAGTAAAGAACCCAATATAATTTCTAATACGCGGAGTGGGTATATTTCGCCCGTCGCGAAGTATTGAAAAACAATTATTATATTGAATAACGACTTTATTTTAAAAAAGGTTATAAAAAATGTGGTTTTTTAATTATATGTGTTGTTAAAATTAAATGCACTGAAAAAAAATTTATTTATTTCAAATAATTAATAATAATTTAAGTATTTGAAAAAAATACCATTTAATTGACTCAAATAATAATTATTTAATACAAATTAATATTTATTTAATAACAGTCAAATGACTGATTATTTGAATCAAATAAATCTTTTTGCAGTGTGTGTATTTAATTTTCGTATTTGAATAAATAAAATCTGATATACGCAAAAAACTATATATATTCAATTATAAATTGTACATATAATAATTAGATTAAATAAATTTTAGACAATAGCTTATAAAAATATTTTATTATTTAAAGTTCTAAAAAAAATTTGATTATTTTATGATTCAAGTCAATAAAAAAATGATTGCATAATTAATTTCATAAAATATGTCAGAAATAGTCGATTTCTAAATGGATCAGTAAAATTTTAATCTTTCAAAATTTACGTAGTCTATTTAATTTTTTTTCTGGAATTATTTAGGGTTTAAAATTATTCTAAATTATTGAAATTTGAAAAAAAAAATATTTTTGTCAATTTTAGATGAAAAATAATATAAATTGTCGAAGAAATTGAATTTGAAAAGTATTAACAGTAAAATTTAAACTAATAAAAATTTAAGTTTTTTTTCATTTTTATAATTATTTTATAAAAATAATTATGTAATCTTTTTTTTTACTTACTAGTATCATAAAATAATCAAATTTTTTTTTCAAAATTTAAGTCATAAAATATTTTTATAACCTATGGAATATTTCATCTAAAATTTATTCAACCTAATTATTATAATATGTGCTAATTTTTAATTGCACAATTTATAATTGAATCTATTTTTTCGTATCTGATTGTTATTTATTCAAATGCAAAAATTAACAAGTAAATTTAACAATACGTTATATTAAAAAACCTTAATTTTTTATAACCTTTTTTAAATCAACTTGTTATTCAATATAATAATTATTTTTTAAAACTTCAAATTAATTTTAAAATTAATATGACAAATATCCAACAGCTGTTTATACCTGATGGGCGAAATATTGTACTTACAATTAGATTATTTCGTTCGTTTTTGTTTTATTACCTGACGGACGAAATAATCTTTTTTTGCTTATTTCGCCCGTCTTTGAAAACACATTTTATTTCAACGGGCGAAATAAGAAAAATGAATTAGTTCGTCCGAATGGACGAAATAGCTGCATAGCTTTCCTAATAAGCTTCATAATACAGAACATAAAATATAAGTTACACCTTTGAGGTTATGTTGCACCTGCTCTTGTAAATTTATAATCTATATACTTCAAAGAATATTTACACCAAGTTCACAAGGTTTACGTTGGCACCGTTGTATAAGTCGGAAGTTCGTCCGAAATCAAAAGGTGTTGTTCGTCCAAAATCAAATCAATATCCCCTGTTTTGGTATATAATTACTCCGGTTGAATTGTCCCCGATTAGACCTGTCAGAATTTTTTTGGTGACGAATTAAAAACTATAAAATTTTTATCTAGCAGATTTTATAATGTACATTTTATAAATCAGCCGAATTTTCATATCGAAAAATTTTCATAAAAATCATTTTTACTTATCAAAATTGTTTCTATTTATTCAAATATTCACTTGACAATATTTCCATTAACTGAATTTACATTTAACATAATATTTATTCTAAATTATTTTTATTTAACAGAAATTCTATGTATATTTACATAGAATACAACACAAATGCGTATGTATAAAAAATTTCAATTAGTTACGAAAAATGACTACCGTTTTTCCCTGATTTTTTAATTCCTAAAATTTTAAAATTTATTTACTTTTATTATTATTTAGTGTCTCAATTTTACCATGGTATTAAAAGGATGATAGCATTGGTTGCTGTTTTCTTTACGCCTGAAATAGTTGAATTATTTGGTACAAGAGTTCTGTTTAATTCGAATTTCATTGAGAAAGTTTTCTGGAAATCAATGGAAACAAGAGAAAAAACAGGAATTAAAAGAGGAGATTTTATTGATTCTTTAATTAAATTAAAAAATGAACCACAAAATCCTGATTATAGTAAGTATTGAATATCACTGGTAAAAAATTTCTTGGGTGATTTTACCAAAGAATTTTTTGGTAAATAAGTGCATAAGTTTTTCCATATTTTTTATACCTTTGAAAAAAATACCCAAATATTTTTAGGTATAAATTCACAAGTATTTTTACACAAAAATTAATTATTATTATTATGATCATCATGTTGGCGAAGGGGTTGGCGCCTGATGTTCGTAAGTCGTTCTAGTATTTTAATAATAATAAAGATGACGTTTTCAGAATTTGAAGGCGAGAATCTATTTTACCAATCAGGAACATTTTTTTCGGGATTTGAATCCAGTTCAACGACCTCGTCATTCACACTAATGGAATTGGCAAAACATTCTGATTTTCAACAGAAAGCACGGGAAGATATTAATGCATCAATAGAAAAACATGGATTAACTTACGAGGCATTCAATGATATGAAATATCTCGATCAATGTATTGCAGAAGGTATTCGGCTTCATCCTCCAGTCTCCACAATTGACCGTTATACTAGAAACGACTATCAGGTGGGAAATATTTTTTTTACTTCTTATATGCAAATTTTATAAAATTACATTTCAAAAATAAAAATTATTTGTGGTTTTAGATTCCAGGTACTGATATTGTCCTCGAAAAGGGAACAGCGGTTTATATTTCGCTTTATGGTTTACAACAAGATCCTAGATTTTTTGAAAATTCTTTAGACTTTAATCCAGAACGATTTAACAGCGAAACTAATGTTTCCGATGCTTATATTCCATTTGGTGTTGGGCCACGAATGTGTATTGGTAAGGCGATGTCGATCGTGAGGCTAATTTATATTAAAAAAATGCAATTTTTCTACTCTGCATTTCATTACAAAATTTTTCATAAAAATAAAATATAATACATCATTTTTTTAACATTACTATTCAGGTATGAAAGTTGGACAATTACACGCCAAAGTTGTAATAACAATGATTTTAAGAAGGTACGAAGTGATCCAATTGTCTAAAGATGAAATTACTTTGGATAATCGATCAACTTTCACTGCTGCTGCTGATGGCATTAATCTTCAATTTAAAGAAATTAAATCCTGATTTTTAATCATTTTTTCTAGTTATATAAAGATATTTTGTATATATAAAAAATGTTACATAATTTGTGAACGCACCTAAAAACTCATACAGAGAAAAATAAATAACAAATTTTGAATTTAATATTCCAGATAAATTTTTCTTTTTGGTAGCATGTTAAATTCATCGTTAGAAAAGATACTTTTGAGCTATTTTATTTAAAAATGATTTGTGTTCATAAAATGAACATAATCACTTTTACTTATCCTCTTTTGTATGAAATTATAATTATAAATATGTAATCAAAGAAAAAGAATTTCAACGTTAAAAAATATAGTGGCCCTGAAAAGGGCCGATTGTTTAGATGATGATGATGACGATGATGATTATATTTAACCGCCGAAACCGTAAAGGGTGCGGCCTTGACGTTTCAAAGCATAGACGACGTCCATGGCGGTGACTGTCTTCCTCTTGGCGTGCTCGGTGTAAGTGACGGCGTCACGGATCACATTCTCAAGGAACACTTTGAGAACACCACGAGTTTCCTCGTAGATCAATCCGGAGATACGTTTCACTCCACCACGACGAGCCAAACGACGGATGGCTGGCTTGGTGATACCTTGAATGTTATCACGCAAAACTTTGCGATGCCGCTTTGCTCCTCCTTTTCCCAAACCTTTACCTCCCTTTCCACGACCAGTCATTTTTCAGAGAATAAAGTTTCTACGTCAAACTCGAACGAAGAACAAACTGAGAATGCGTGGAGGGGGAAGTGAGCGTTATTTTATAATGTCGTGTTGCACATTTCTCCCACCATAATTCAATCTACCAATCAAGTGTCTAGAACTCCCCTTCCTGTTGGCAGCTTATTCAACAATGGGAGGCAAAAGTCTATAAATACAGCATTTTCCCCCCTCCCAACATCATTATTGTGTTAGTCACTGAACCAACTACATCGTCATGGCTCGTACCAAGCAAACCGCTCGTAAATCCACCGGTGGTAAAGCACCGAGGAAACAACTTGCAACCAAGGCCGCCAGAAAGAGCGCGCCTGCAACTGGTGGAGTGAAAAAACCCCATCGTTACAGGCCAGGAACTGTCGCTCTCCGTGAGATCCGTCGTTACCAAAAGAGCACTGAGCTCCTCATCCGCAAGCTTCCTTTCCAACGTTTGGTTCGTGAAATCGCTCAAGATTTCAAAACCGACTTGCGTTTCCAGAGCTCTGCTGTGATGGCTCTCCAGGAGGCTAGCGAGGCTTACCTCGTCGGTCTCTTCGAAGACACCAACTTGTGCGCCATCCACGCCAAGAGAGTCACTATCATGCCAAAAGACATCCAATTGGCTCGTCGTATCCGAGGAGAACGTGCTTAATTTTATTACAACCCCTCCAAAAAAACAATCGGCCCTTTTCAGGGCCAACACATTTTTTTACGTTGAAATTATTTTGTTTTTGACTGTTCCATTGATTAATTCAAAAATTAGAAACAAATAAATTCTCTTATTATTATTGATAAAAAGTTTTTACAAAGCCATTGATCCAGTTAGTTTCACATTTATAGGGCTTATTCACAAACTGTCAATTATTTATTATTATTAATATTTTTTATTATTATTAACACAAATGCAAAAACAGCAGCTGAAACAAAAAAAAAATATTTTGATTTTTAATAAAAAAAAAATTATATGCAAAAATTCTTGTAAAATAAAATATTTTTTATGAAGTTTACAAAATTTTAAATTCATGAAAAAGATCTTGAATTTGTCAAAACTTAATACTTTTCAGGTATAAAATATTTTTATGTATATATTTTTTAATAATTTCTTTAAATTGTAAGATAAGATTCTTTAAACTTGAAATCTGAAAAAAATGATGCCTAAACAAAGAAAATATTAAAATTTTCTTTTAGTTATCACATTTCTAATATCGTTAACTGTGCTCTCAGGTCACTCGGATTTGTTATTAGTAATGCTTTAGCGTTTCATAACCCACGAACTCTGAAATCGCTTTACTTTTCATTTGTTAGATTACGAATTGAAAATTGTTCTGTGTCATGGAGACCATATTATGCTCAATATCTTGTAAGAATCTATCTATCTATCTATCTATGATCTCTAGTGATATTTTTGGGTTGATGCGTTTGTATCTTTACCCTTGATATCTAATATTGTATTATTTGTAATGCTTTAAAGTTGAACATAGTGAGAATGTTTAGTAGAGGCCCACGTCTAGTATTTCTACTGTACGAGGGCGCCGAGCTCTTGGACGGCAATCTTTTGGGTTATAGTTAAGTATATTTTGAAGTAGTATGTTTTCGTGATTCTCAACTTGGAGAAATAGCTTCTTTGCTATTTCTTTTGTAAACTTCCGTATACTAGGTATTTGCAAGTCTCTGTGAAGTTGTTGATTTGAGACAAACCATGGAGCTTGTGTTATTATCCTTAATATTTTGTTTTGGATGACTTGGATTTTGTTTATATGTACGTCCGCTGCATGGCCCCAGGTGGCGATTGCATAAGTCAAGGCAGGGCGAATGACAGAAATGTAAATTATCCTTTTTGATTCCAAATTTAGAAAGTTGCTGCTCAATAGACTCCAAAGTTTCGAGATTGCCGTGAGTCCTGTCTTCTTTATTTCATTTGTGTGCTTGTTCCAAGTCAGCTTTCGGTCAATGTGTAGTCCCAGGTACTTTGCATCACTCGACCAGGGAATTGATTTATCCACAACATCTATTTTATCCGGTGGTGGCTTTCTTTTCTTTGTGTGGTATACTGCTTGTGTTTTCTCCTTGTTAATGGCAATTCTCCAGATGACCATCCAATCCACCACCTCATTCAGGGATTTTTGAAGTCTGGATACTGCCAGTTTAGGACTGCGAGACTGAGTTATAACAGCAGTATCATCTGCGAACAAAGCTTTTTGAGAGTAGTCGTTTGTTGGAATATCATGTGTGTACAGATTGTAGAGAATTGGGCCAAGAACAGAGCCTTGAGGAACTCCCGCCAGGATGGGTCTGCTTGTAGAGATTTTATCTTCTACTTTGACTGCAAAACTCCTGTTTTGAAGAAAGGAGCGAATGATTTTGATCAGGTTTGTGGGAATTCCTGCCACAGACAATTTATGGATAAGACCATCATGCCATACTTTATCAAATGCTTTGGCTACATCCAGGTAGGCGATTGCTGTAATATCCTTGAATTCAAATCCTTTGTGAATTGTCTCCACTAGTCTGAGAGTTTGAAGATTCGTCGAGTGATTTTGACGAAAGCCGAATTGCTCTGCAGGCAGCAGATTCATTTCTTCAACTTGTTTCAGGAGTCTTGTCAAAATGATGCGTTCAAATAACTTGGAGAAGGAAGAGAGAAGACTTATTGGTCGGTGGTTTTCTGGTCTTTTGTGATCTTTGCCTGGCTTTGGTATGGTGATAATATGTGCTTTCTTCCAATCAGCTGGAAAGTAGTTTAGACGTAAGCTTGCGTTTATAATGTTTAAAAGCTTAACTTTGGCTTTTTTAGGCAAGTGCTTAATAGCAGTGTTTGTAATGGTATCTTCACCAGGAGCTTTTTTGTTTTTAAGTTTTTTGATGATGTTTTCTAATTCCTGGAGAGTAGCCGTGGTGATTGGGGTAGCTGCACTTTCGTCAATTTGGTTTACAGAAGAAAGAGCTTCTTCTTCAAGTTCCTCTGCGGCCTCGTTTTCATCGTCAACTTCATTAGGTGTACATTGATTTTCGATACTAGTGGCTAGAATTTCTGCTTTTTCATTGTTTGTGTAACCAATTCCATACGTTCCTTGCAGAGGAGGTATAGAGGATCGTTTGGTTTTGAGCGATTTAATTAGTTTCCAGAGGCTAAACCTATCCGAGTTGAGGGATTCAACTTTATTATTCCATCTGTTGTTGTGGAAAGTCTGCAATTGTGAGCGAACATTATTATTCAATCTTGTAGCAGCGAGAATATCATTAGGATGGCGAGTTCTTTGAGCCTTTTTTTGGGCTTTCCTCTTATCTTTAATTAGTTGCCGCAGTTCAGTTGGTAATAAGATAATTTCATTGGCCTTTGATGAGATTACTTTTGTACAGTTTTCAACAGCTTGTTTAATCTCTTGAGTTAGAAGTTTTACTTCTTCGTCGATGTCTTCAGTTGTTCTTAAAGTTTTGATGTTTTCCATCTTGTTTTTTAAGTAATATGTGTAGCGGTTCCATACGGTGAAAGACTTTGTAGAAAGGGGTTTAATTTGATGATTGCCCAGGAGCGAAATTTTGATTGGATTGTGATCTGAACTAAGATCTTGTAAGACTTCAAGGTCTAAGTCTTGATATATGTTTTTGGAAATTACTATATCCAGTATTTCTGGTCTTCCAATTGCACTATAATGAGTTGGTGAGTTTGGTATGTGGAGTTGAATGTCATTTCTTTCAAAGTAGCGAAGAATAGATTTGCCTGATATGTTTGTAGAATTACAATCCCATTGAGTGTTCTTGGCGTTGAGGTCTCCCATAAGAAGGATTTTCCGGTTTGTCGAGAAGAAGGCATTTAGATCGGCTTTAGTTATTTTCTTTTTAGGTGAACAATAAGCGGCAATGATAAGAATTGGTCCAGACGTACTTTGAATTTCTATGCACGTGTTTTCTATTTGAGAGTCTTTGGAATCCTGGAGTGTATGCTTAATATGTTTCTTGATTAAAATTGCTGTGCCGCCATGTGGTTGCGCTGTGCGATCCGTTCTGTAAGTTGTATAGTTTGGTATTGAAAAATTGTTTCCATTCTTGAGCCAAGTTTCGCCCAATAGCATAATATCTATGTTTTCTTCGACAAGAAAGTTCATCAATTCATGCTTTTTGTTTGTAACCGCACAAGCATTCCAATAACAAATGATTAAGTTACTTTGAGATCTTTGATCCATTTTGTTCATTTGTATTATTTCCTTGGAACATTTTACCTAATTGCAACGCAAGATCTTGCATTTGGCTGTACATAGATGTAAACTTTAAGAAAAGTTGGGTTAGTGACATTTCTCCGTTAGGTTCAGCTGAGTTATTGATATTGAGATTTCCTTCGTCAATAGTTGACTTCACTACATGGGCAAAAGATTTACTTCCTGGGAGTGTGGTCTTCTGGGCAGATTTTGATTTCGGTTTAGGCCAGC